TGCTGTCCCCATGGCTGTCCCCAGCCTTTTCCCCACTGCTTGGCCACCAACTTGGCCGGGTTTTTCCCTACTGGGGGGGGGCTGGTGCTTCCCCTCCCTATTTACATCTTCCCGGCCTTTATCTTTCTCCCAGTCTCTGTATTGCTGCAATTACAGACACTTTAAAACACAATGATCTGGCTGTTAGCGTGATGGATGACAGAACCTTTCTGTCTGGTTTAAATCATTGCTGAGAGTGAGCAAACTTCCCCGGGTTAACCCTTTCTTGTCCCTCTCAACCCCCCCAGCCTGCTCTCTGCCCAGCCCAGGCTGGTGGCTGCTGGCCCCGCCACGTGCCCCACGGCCACGCACCCATCGCACCCGTGGGTCCCACGGGTGGGGATGGAGGGAGGGTCTGGCATCCCTGGGGAAACATCCCCCCGGCCCTCAGCTCCCTGGGTGCCCAGGGTGGACGTGACGCGGTGGGGCAGACGATGGCACCAGCCCCCATTTCGGCAGGGCCGGTGGCCCCGCTCTGCTGCGGCGGGAAAGCAACGGCCGGACTGGGAGATAAACTCCTGCCAGGGCCCGATAGCCTGGCTGGATGCGTCCCAGCCCAGGACCTGGCAATCCATTCCCCCGGCAAATCTGGAACCGGGGCAGGATGAGGCCCCGTCGGGTTCCCACCCGGCAGAGAGGGTGGAAACTCCTCTAATGACTCGGTGTCGGTCACGCCGGCGCGTGATCGATGGCGCAGGGCGCACCAGCCTGGCGCGGGGATTAACTGAACGTGTCATGGCAATTTGTGCTCCCTTTGTTTTGAGGAGCCGGCATCCCCCCGCCGCTGCGCATCCTGCCCCGTGCCCGCCGCCTCCTGCCCTCCCTGCTCCTCCCAGCGCTGCCCCCCACGGGTGTCTTGGTCCCACGGGAGGGTGTCGGTGCTGTCACCCATCATTCCTGCTCGCGGGACCCACGGGGAGGGGGGGGATGTCCTTCATCCTTCATCCTTCATGGCTGGGAGGGGTTGAGGTGGGGCAGCTCGGGGAGCTGCCCAGGACCTGCCCCAGGCAAAGGGGGTCCCCGAGGCGAGTGGGGGGGCCACCCACTGGGGCCCGGCACGGCGCACACCAGCAGATAAGGTGCTCACCGAGGGCAGATGAGGACAATGGCCACCAAACCTCGCAGGAAATGGTCACCACCACGTGTCATCCGGGCCCCGTATTGCACCCCACACCCCCCACACTCCCCCCCCAGCTATCGGGGCTGGGGGCAACGCGGTGGGTGCTGCCAGGGCCCCGCACCCCACTTGCACCTTTGCAGCCACCACGCTGTTGGGGCTCTTTTTCACACCCCTGGGTGCCCAACCATCAATCCTTGACCCACCCCCTCTCTCCCTGTAGCTCTCGCTCAGCCCTTCACCCTGGCCTCCCGCCGGCACCGCATTGTCCCCCTTGTCCCCAGCTCTCCCCCAGCTCCCGCAGCCCGGGCTCTGGCTCAGCCCTGTCACATCCCAGCGTGCCTGTGAGAGCTGATTGCTATGCAGGCTGCGTGTTCCCCCCCACGCCCCCCCCCCCCCCCCCCCCCCCCCGGCTTCGCAAGCCTCAGGCTTTTGAAAAAAGCCCACGGTGGTGGTGGTTGATCACACCTTCCCCCTCGCCTGCGCTGGTGAGTCATCTCACCGGCGTGCCGGGAGCCACGCAGACTTGCCCCACCGCCAGCAGCACCCATGGGTGCCCAGAGCCCCTCCGCCACGCCGGGCCGGGGGTCCTGCCACAGCCCGGCTCTCACGGGAGGCTTGTCTGGAGGCAAAGGCACCCAGCCGTGCCGGCGCTCAGCCCCCGGCGTGCTACAGGTTTCCTGTGTCACCCCCAGCCAGTCTGTCTGTCAGTCTGGGTTTCTCAATCTCTATCCGCTCCCTCTTGGGGAGCAGAGCATCCCCGGGGTGCCTCTCCGCCGTCCTCTCTAGATGTGGCCGTGCCAGCGGCGCCCGCCCGGCACAACGCCGAGGAGAACGTGGGGACAGCGTGGAGACGGGTCCCCGTTTGACATGGGCACCCGGAGCATCCCCGCGGGGACGCCGTGCTCGGGGCAGGGAGCTGCCGGGCTGGGAAGGGTCAGCGTGACCACGGGTGGTCCCACTGCCCTGGCTGTGCCCACGGACGTGGCAGCCTGAATCTCAGCGCCTAAATCCAGCCCAAATCGAGGACCGGGAGCCAAGCTGGAACCCCCCCGGCCTTCTTCCCTTGGCATTTTGCTTGCAGCAAGGGCCTGGGCTGGCGTTGCTTTTCCCTGCACATGAATTCATCGGGGAATGCACGGGGGAGATAAGGGGCTGGTGGGGAGCCAGCGACCAGGGAAGACGGCTTCACCCGTCCGCCGGCTATCGCCCGCCGCAGCTGCATCCGCCGCGGTGACATCTGCTCGGCAGGAAGCGCCTCTCGCCAGCCTTTCTGTAGAAAGAGGGTCCATTTGTGCCTGGCTTCCCTCTGCGCCCGTTCACGGGGGTCCCCGGACTCGGGGTCACCCGCCCCACAGCCACCCCGGCTCCTCACTTCCTTGGCTGAGGGCTGGAAGGAGCAGCCCTCCCCCCCCACCCCACCCCGCTGCCCCTGGCTGTTACCGCCAGGAAGCAGACGCAGGGGCTTTGTGGTTTTCCCACAACTTCCATAAAGAAAAGAAAAAAAATACATCTTCCATTAAAAGGAAAAAAAAAAAAAATTCTATTTTCCTGGCTGACAGATTCGTTCCTGCTTTGTGGCATTCGAAGGGAAACTGGCCCCGACTGCTTATCATCCCCTCTTGCCCTGCACTGCAGGCTCTGAAAAATCACCGGTTTGGCTTAAACGCCGGGAGACTTCGGGATATGGCACCATTCCTTTGGGGGCTTTAAGGTTTTGGGGCTGCTGGGGGCCAAGTTTCCAGCTTTTTCTTTGCCACGGAGAGTCTGGAAACTGTTTTAATCGTGAAGCGGAGCTGGCCACGTGCTGCCCTGCTTCCAGGAGCTGGTGCTTCGGGGTGCCCAGAGGGAGCAGCACCCGGCGGCGGCAGCACCGGCAGCAAATCCAGCCGGCTGCATCCTTGGCCAGCAGGAATTCGCTGGGAGACACTGAGCAAAATCTCTCGAGCTGCCCCAGCAAGCACAACACGCTGGGAGGGCGACGCACCCCACCGCGCTGCAGGGGGTCCCTCTGGCTCCTCGGATGCCGGGGAGCTCCCCTCTCCGTGGCACTGCTCCCCTTTGCAGGGCTGGGCAAAGGGGACGGCGGTGCTGAGCCCCCATGGGAGCCTTGTCCTCGAGGCCTGGCTCCTAAGGCTGCCCGTGGCATGCAAAACTTCCATGCAGTGGCATCTCCTGGCTCTGCTGCAGCGCCGTGGCTGCTCACCCTGCCCCTCGCAGCCCCGGTGGGGTTAACAGCATCTTCACACTCCCCTTTTCCCCTCCAAACCAGGGCGTACCCCTCAGCTTGCCAGCCCTCCCCATCCCACAGACTGCAGCTGCCCGCACAGGGCTCTTTAACGATGGGAATTTAATTAGCTTGCATTGCACTTCCAACACCTCGCGTCCCTGCAAAAATCAATCAGAGCTGGTGGGATGCAGCGCAGCGCAGCCTGCCTCCGCTCCGGCACGGGGCTCGGCCTGGGAGCAAAACCCTGGGGGCTGATTTCAGAAACTCCCCCCGGGGCCAAAATGCCCCAGCACGGGGCTCTGGCCGCGCGGAGGTCTGTGCCGATCTGTGGCGTGTCGTGGGGAGCCGCAGCTTCGCGGCGGGGAGGTCTGGGATTCGTTACGAGGTCCAGATGCGCCGCGGCAGCGGGAGACGTTGCGGCTGTCTCTGGCCACCTGCATCGTTTCCAAGTTCCCAGGCTAAAAGCAGGGCTTGTTATCAAGAGCAAAAAATGTGCCACCTCTGTTGTATTTCATTTCCCTTTCTCCACCTCTTCCCTGCCCGCTGCGCGTCGGAGATAACAGCTCTCCGCGCCGAAGCTGGAGCGCGGGGCAGGCAACGGCCTCACCAGCCCTATCGCTGCCTCGCCGGCCGCAAGGAAATCAGGAAGTTTGCAGAGCTATTTGACCAACAAAATAAACATTTCTCCTGCCAAGCTCCCAACCGGCAGCTCGGCGAGCCGGCGGCAATCTGCACGGCTCCCCTCGCTGCAACTTTCCGGTCAACGGCGCCGCGGCCGCCGGGTCCCTGGCACCTTATCGGTGGGTGCCCCTCGCTCGGGATGCGCCGGTCGTTGCGGCGGGTGGCAGGTTTGGGGACAGGGACCTCAGTGCTGGTCCTACCCACGGCGAACCGGCGCGCCACGATGGGTGCAGCACCCAGGGTGCACCACAAACCATGTCCTAGAGCCCATCCTCGCCGTGTTCCCAACCCGTGGGGTGGGTGCCAGGGGGCTGCGGCCGGAGCACGGTGCCAGTGGGGACAGGGGTGTGCGAGGGGAAGCGAGGCAGAGGGCCAGTATTGTTCACCCAGGGTAGACAAATGCCGGTGACTCAGCCCGCAGCCACTTTCCTACCCGCGCCCCTGGGCTCCCCCAGATCTGCCGCAGCCCCTTGGCCGAGGCTGGGTCGTGGGGTGCCCCTCGCCCTGTGTGTGGTCCTGTCAGTGCTGGGGGGGATGCTCCGGTACAAGGCCACGGGATGCCCCGGCCCCACAAAGCCTCACCACTGCCACGCTGCACGTGAAGCCCAGCACCAGGGCCGGATCCTGACCCCCGTGGCACAAACTTGCTGCGCGCAGGATCTGCCCGCTGCCGGGGAGCGGGCACGGGAAGGGGCTCCCGAGTAGCACGTGAGCTGCTGACCCGAGAATGAACGCAGACACCCAGTCAACAGAGGATTGCAAGCTTGTAAATAAAACATATTCGTGGCTGATTACTCATTGTGGAAAGGTTAATTGCAGAGCTGGCTCGGAGTGGGTCCCTGTGACGCTGCCCCGTGGCGCTGGTGCCGTGGCACAGCCCACGCACGACCACGGCCACCCGCCGCCTTCCTCCCGCCGCTGCCTCGGCCTTACCTTGGCCTGTCCTGCTCGCTGCCCTGGCCCAAGAGGGGTGGCCGTCCGGCTTGGGGGGTCCCCCAGGCATCCCGGCGGTGGGGGGGTGTCAGCACCCCGGTGCCACGAACCTCGCAGGCCCCGGCACGGCCAGCCCGCTCCCACGCGCGGGTGCGGGAGATGCTGAGCGCCGGCGGGGTGTCCTGCCGCGGGGGGCCGTTCATGTGGCAGCCGAACCGTGTCCCATGGCGAGGGGGATGGCGAGCAGCTGCCGGGCAGCGATAATGCGGCGGGTGGGGGGGAGGCCGGGCAGCTGCACCCGTGTCCTTCCCCAACAGGAACCATCTGCGACCAAGCCCAACTCTGCCTTCCCTATCAGCCATTCCGGTCTGACTTTCCAACAACTTCCCCTTCGCGCCGGCTTCACTTCCTCACTGCGAGGGGCTGGCGCGGTGCAGTTTGGCACGGTGCAGCAGGCTCGCAGCACAGCATGGCTGCCAAGGGTGCAGCTCAGCACGGGGAGCACCATGCGGCGTGGCAGGGCATAGCCAGCACGGTGTGGCACGGCACGGCACGGCTCTCAAGCTGCAGCACTGCGCTGGCAAAGCAGCGTGGCACGGCCCGGCATCCGGCGCGATGCCATCCAGGACGGCGCGGGATGGCAGGGGATGCGCGGTGCAGAACGGTGCAACCGGCGCAGCATGGCCCGTGCCACACAAAGGTTAGCTGCAAGGCAGCGGGGCGCAGCCTGGCACAGCCTGGCGCACCTTGGCACAGCGTGGTGCAGCCCGGCACAGCGTCGTGCAGCTCAGGACAGTGTGGTGCAGCCTGGCCCAGCCACAGCACCCCACGGTGCAGCCCGGCACAACCAGCACGCTGCCACACCGCGGGCTCACACCCCCCACCACCCCCCCCTCGCTGCAGCCCTGCAACCCTTTGGTCCTTTTGCCCGGGGACAGCCATGGGGACGGGGATGTCCCCCAGCTGCCGCTGCCCTCCTCAACCTCAGCTGCAGCACCAGTGCCGTGCACAAGCCCTGGCTCCCGGCATCACCCTGCTCAGCGCTTGGGATAACCACCCCCCCCGGCGGGTATAGGACACCCCCCCCCCCCAACTTTGCAATCCATCCCTGCACCCCCCAGACCAGCCCTCCCCGCGCCGCAGCCTGGGCTCCCCGACAGCCACCAGCGAGAGAAACAACTTGTTAGAAAACCGAAAGGCGGCTCCGGGCTGCAGGTGGGAGGGAGGAAACGTGTCCTAAAAATACAGCAGCGCCTGCACGGTCCCCGAAGGTGGCTGAGCAGATGGCGTGTCTCGGCGGCCACCTGGGCTCCCGCAGATGGTACCCGGGGCTCCCCGCTTCGTGCCCCCAGCCCAGGGCTCCTGGGGGGTGGGAGGGGAAGGGATGGTGGGGTGTGGGTGGGGAGGGAGGGTCCCCAGAGCATGGCGGGGGGTGTAGGGGTGCTGTGCTGAGGGACGGAGCGGGGTGTCACCGGGAGGGTTTGCAGCACGTCTGCCCTCTGGGTGCAGGCCGGGGTCCCAGGGGATGGTGAGCACTGTCTGGCCGCAGCAGGGAGATGAGGGGAAACCCCGACACGGGGCTGATGCGCCGGGGGAAAAGGGCCACACGGCTACAAACCGCAGCCCCAACCCAGCTGGGCCGGCGTGCACCCAGCCAAGGCTGCGTGCTCGAGGATGGGGGGGGACACACACACACACACTGCAGCTGCCCCCAGCAACTCTCTGCCTCGGACTCACATCCTGCACCCCCATGCTGGGGGGGTCCCAGCTCCATCCTACCTGCCCTGCAGATGCCCGTGCCCCACCGGCGCGGGCAGAGCAGCCCAGCTGTGTGGACCGAGGGCTGGCAGAGGTTTCAGCAACGCGTGGCTGCAGGGCGGGGAGGGCAGCCGCTGGCTCCCAGTTGCCCATCCCATCAAGCAGGAGGGTTTCTACCTGTGTTTTGTGCTCTCTCCTCTTCCCCTTTTATTTCTGGCAGCCGCAGGCCCAGGTGGGCTCAGGCTCGCCGGCACTGAGCGACGGAAAGTGCACGAGGGATTAAATAGCAGCAGCCACTCCTGGGGAGTGTCCTGGGCCAGCAAGTCAAAACCAAGTGGGTTTCAGGGCCAGGCAAGGAAAATCCCACCCGGCTACGGCCCCGTGTCCCCCACGTCACCTGCGGCCAGAGGGTTTTCTCCGCAGGCAAACAGGCGAGCAGCTGGCCGGGCAGCTGCAGGAGCTGAACATCAGCAGCACTGGGCTGCCGGGGCCCGGGGAATGCCCCGGTGTGGGGGGAACTCCTGGGGTCTGCCCTGGTGTGGGGGCAACCCCTGGGGTGTCAGGGTCTGTCCTGGTGTGGGAGGAATCTCTGGGGTCTTGGGGTCTGTGCTGGTGTGGTGGGAAATCTCTGGGTCTGCACCAGCATGGGGGAAACCCCTGGGGTCCTGGGGAATGCCCCCGTTTGGAGGGAACCCCTGGGGTCTGCCATGATGTGGGGGGAACCCCTGGGGTCCCAGGGTCTGCTCCAGTGCGGGGGGAATCTCTAGGGTCCCAGGGTCTGCCTCGGTGTCGGGGGAACCTCTGGAGTCTGCCATGGTGTGGGGGGAACCCCTGGGGTCTGTCACAGCATTGGGAGAACCCCCCGGGGGTCCCGGGGTCTGCCCCAGTGTGGAGGGAAGCTCTGGGGTCTCGGGGTCTGCTCCGGTGTAGGGGGAACCCCTGGGGTCTGCCCTGGTGTGAGGGAAACCCCTGGGGGTCCCGGGGTGTGCCCCGGCACAGGCGAGCCCCCTCCCGCCCACCCTTCGGGGAGCCTGCCGGGGCTCCCAGCCGGTTTCTTTCTGAGTCAGAGCTGCACGCTGGCTGCCGAGCAGAAACTTCCCCCCCTCCCCAGCCAGTAAAGGAGAAGCGGGACGGGCTCCCACCACCCCCACACTCAGAGCAAGAGGGTGGCAGGAAGGCAGAAACCCCTGGGGGGTCAGCCGGGGGGTCCCCACCGCAGCACCCACCACCCGCCTTCGCACTTACCGGGGCCGGCTCGGCACGGCACGCTTCCCCGGTGCTTGGGAATGCCCCGGCGGGGGCTCGCTCGGCCCCGTGCCCTCCCCGTGCCCACACACCCCACTGCCCACAGCACCCCGCTGCCTTCCCCTTTCCATTTGAGACCGATGAGGCTGCGCTGGGGCGGGGGGCAGGGAGGGGGGGAAACCCGCGGTGAAAGGAAGCCGCAGCAATAACCCGTGAGCAAAACACCACCAACAGCTGCCGGAACCAAAAATGAGACCATCGCCTCCCAAAGCGGATGCTGTCTTTTGGGTTGGGGTAGGAGGCAAGGCCGCGGCTGCCTGCAACGTTTTTTTATACGCCGGTGCTCAAATCTGGTTCTTTCAGCCCAGGGAAATGTGGGTGCGGGCGGGAAGAGAGGAGGCAGGGATGGGAAGGAAAGCGGCGGCTGAGCAGAGGAGATGGGAGCTGCTGAGAGTTCACATGGAACACAAAGATGAATTCTTTAAGGAAAAAAAAAAAAAAAGAAAACAGAAGAAGAAAAAAAGAATTAAAAAAAAAAAAAAAAAGAAATCAAAGGGATGTGGAGAGGGAGATAAGAGGGAAGGCAGAGCAGGGAGACGGAGGGAGCAGAGAGGACGCGGGCAGAGGGAGGCAGGAGGAGCGGGAGGAGGCGAAGCCGAGGAGCCGGGGGAGTTGTCTGGCGAGGTCCCTATCGAGTCTCTCCATCACGGTAGCCTAACCTCAAGTAGTTTTTCACTGAGATTGGAGTGATCAGGTAGGGCTGCCCTCGCTGGCAGCTGCGGGGTTGTGAATAAGCACCTGCTTATCTCTGCCCAACGGCTGTGCGAGGCTGCAGATTGCGGGGAGGACGGGGAGCTGCCTGCCGGCTGCGATTTCCATATCAGCGCCCTGCAGCCGCCTGCACCAAATAAACACAACAGCCCCGTGGACAAAAGGTTAATTATCAATTTTCAGAAAGGGAGAGAGAGGGGAGGGGGAGAGGAGCAGACCGGCGGTCGGCAGCCGTGGGGACGCGCGGCCGTGCCCAGCCGGGGAGCTGGGCTCCGAGCCCCGGGCGCAGCATCCCTGAGCATCCCCGGGGCTGTGCTGGCACCTGCGGGGCTGGGGATGGGAATGGAGATATGGATGGGCATGGGAATGGGGACAGGGAAAGGGATAGGGACAGGGATGGGGATGGGGACAGGAATGGGAATGGGGCGGGGACAGGGATGGAGATGGGAAGGGGGACAGGGAAGGGGGTTAGGGATGGGGATGGAGATGGAAATGGGAATAGGAATAGGGATGGGTATGGGAACAGGAATGGGAATGGGGTGGGGATGGGAATGGAAATGGGGATGGCAATAGGGATGGAGCTGGGAATGGGGATGGAGTTGGGGACAGGAGTGGTGATGGGGACGAGGACAGGGACAGGACGGGGTCTGTGCATGCACAGGAGCAGTGGGACTTGGGGGGGATGTAGGGAGAAAAGGCCCCTGGCAGCCCCCCCCCCCCCAGTTCAGCCCTGTCTGGGTAGGAGCAGGGTTGGAGGAAGGCACATCCTCCTCCTCCTCCTGGGCATGCAAGTCCCTGCCAGTTCTGCTCCCTGCAGCCATGTTTCTGAACCCAACACCTTCCTCCTCTTAGCGGAGTGGCCGCGGGCTCCCAGCCCAGCCAGGCCATGGGGCTCAGGGAGAGGTGGGGAGGGAAGAGGTGCCCCGTTCAACCCAGCCCTGCAGGAAGGGACGAGCAGGTGGTGGCATCCCCCAGCTCGGAGTTTAGAGCGGGTGGAGGCATCTGGGACCCGCACAGGCTCCTCAGCCCTGTGCTTGGGGTCAGGGCTTGCCCCTCACTCCTGCTGCTCGGGAGCAGGATGTTAAATAGGGTGGGGGGCACCAGTGCTGCTCTGCTGTCACCCACCCTGTGCCCCACTCTCGCTCGGGCAGGGGTTGTTGCTGTGGGGCTAGGAAACTCCTCTTCCCACTGCAGCCACCCCTGCACCGGGATGCGTTTTCCATCCTGCGGCGTGGTCCTATGCTGGGCCCGCGTGCACTCGCGATGGTCCTGGCTCGCACGGGGAGATGTGGAGCCCAAAAGTGCTGCGTGGGGTGGCAGCCACCACGCCGCCGGGAAGCCTCGAGCCCACACGGTGCCGGATTTAGCCACCAACACGCTCCTAAAAATAGCGGGGAGCCAGGAGGCTGGCGAGCTGCAGCTGCTGCCACGGGGAGCGGGCAGGGAGCTCGGGCTCTCATCCCACGGGGATGAGGTGCACAGGGCTGGGGTGCACGGGGATGGGGTGCACAGGGCTGGGGTGCAAGGAGATGGGGTGCATGGAGATGGGGTGCATGGGAATAGAGTGCACAGGGATGGGGTGCACAGGACTGGGATG